ACGTGAAGGTTTCAATATTAATTTTCCCTTTGCACAAGCATCACAAATAAATTCATGAAAGGAAGGGAGATTGCTGCTTGATATGCTATGCCCAATAAAGTTAGAAATAATCCGACGCATCATACTAAGCCCAGGATGACCCAATCGCTCATGCCATAATTTAAATGAATTTGGGTCTTTAAATTTTAAGCTCAATGCAACATGATTAATAGAAGGTCGAATGTAAGTATGGTACAAGCCTGAGGAGAAAGAGGGAAGTTCTTCTACAATTTTCTTTTGACTTCCTTGTGAATGAGTCATTAGAAGATACTCTATATTGTTTTGTCTTAGTTTCAATATGAAAACCATTAGATCGAATATCTTTAAAACTAAGGAGTGTTCTTTGTGATTCAGGGTACAAAAGCGCATTGTTAATTATTAACACGGTACCCTTAGGAAGAGTAAGTAAAGCTCTGCCGGAGCCTACTATCAAGATTTGATCATGAGCAATTGTAGAAACACTCCCTTTCTTTTCATTTAAAGTTTGAAAAAAATTTCTATCTTTCAAGATAGTATGCGTAGTAGCACTGTCGACTAGACATAAAACGCCCTCTTTCTCCATATAATGCAAACGAATGAATGGTTGTGGTACACTAAAAGAAAAGTAAAACATTGTAAGCAAACAAAGCAATCATGAAGTCCCAATCAAAACATAACGTCTGGAAACATACCAATAGCAAAAACAAACCACAAATGTCTTGCGAAGCAAAAGAAATCAGAAATGTCTAATAGCAAGAAACAAAACACGAAATAAAAATATTCAGTTCTAAGATAGAAAGCATATTAATCACACATCATCACCATAGTCCTCGAGCTCAAGCTGCAATAAATCATCATCATCAGCATTGAAATCTAAATTTGCTTCAGGCAAACTAGCATGATGTGATTCACCTTGAGGAGCCTTTCCTTTCTTATCCTTTAGCATTCTTTGATAGGCCTCAACTAGATGCCGAGGAGTACGACATGTGCGGGACCAATGATTATCGCATCCACATCGAAAGCAAACATGCTTCTGCTCTTTAGGTTGTGGATGTGAATCGCGTCGATTTGAAC